AGGACAGAGGCAGCTCCAGGGGGTTCTCGCGATCCTGCGCACAGGAGGGCGCGGTGGGTCCGTGTTGGAGGTTGGAAAAGAAAGGAGAGAAATCTGCGCCCCCAGCTCGACTGAAGGCCACCCCCTAACCAGTTGCTGGAGTCCCATGTCCCAGCCCCACCCCAAGCGAGGGCTCTACCAGCCGCTCGATGACCGCCCGCAGCGCGCGGTGCCAGGCTAGCAGCTCGGTCTCGTTGTCCGACTGCAGCAGGAACTCGTGGCCAGGGACCGTGCGGATCTGAGGGGTAGGCGGAGAAAGCCTTCGGTCAGCCGGGGCGAGGGTAAAAAGCCGACCCGTGCAGGAGATTGGGGGTGCACCCTGGGGTCGAGTGGGGCTTCCGAGACTAGCGGGAGGGCACCCACGTGCAGGACGTTGCGGCGGCTGGACAGGTGGCGGCCGTGCGCCAGGGCCGCTCCGCGCAGGTCCACGCTGCTTTCAGGCCGGCTCCCCGCCGGGCCCTGGAAGTGAGGGGAGGAACCGAGGCCACGGTGTTGTTTACCGCATGCTCCCCTCACCCCGTGGGCTGCCAGGAGGTGGAAGGCTTCCTCTACACCGCCCTGCCCACCTCCACCCTCCACGGTTGGACCTCGGCGGGGAAGAAGTCGCGCGGGAGCCCCTCCTGCACCCCTCCCTCCAGGAGGGCGCCTCACTCACCCAGCCTGAGGACGGCGCCGTGGGCGGTGGCTCTCGGTAGAACACCAGGCTGTTACCAGCTAACACCACCCAAGACGGGCCCCAGTTCTTCCTGCCGGGCGGAGGGGCAGTGGAGTGGTGATGAAAGGTGATTCCACAATCACCCGGAGAACGGAGAACGCAGCCCCAGCACCCCGCTCCACCCTTGCAAGGCCAGGAGCCCAGGCCCCTGCTGTATTCGGGGGTTCTTCTCACCTGAGCTTGCGCCCCCCTTGGGCAATCTTGGTCATGTTGAGCTGGCCGGACTTTTCCACCTCCTGGGAAGAGAAGGGAGTGATGAACCTGTAAGTCCAGTGCCCCTCACAGGGTCTCCAAGGCGTGAGGTCCCTTAAAGGTGGGCATACCCAGAAAGAGGAAGATGTTTTTGAGGAGCAGGAATTGGCTGGGAGGATCTTGGTATTCACCAGGAAATGAGACTCACATGGGGGTCATCCAGAAGCTGAGGCAGAGGTCGAGGGGGCTGCAAGGCTAGAGGCTGCTGGCCGGGGTCAAGGTGGGAGACACGCTTACCTAGGCGGGGTGAACCCTGGAGGAACGGGTTAGAGAGACAGGTGGAGGAACCTTCAACTTTGGGGTCCCTGGTTGGAGGAGGAACAGGGGTGGGTGCGGATGTGGGCGAGAGCCAGGGGGTGTGATGGGTAATAAAAAAAATGTCTAGCATGAGAGAGAGTTGTAGGAAGAGTTTGTCTTTCTGCAGGTGGTTGGAAGGTGGGAGGGATCTCACCTGGGGCTCAGGAAGTTGTGGGGTCCCTGTGTCCCATCCTGAGCCCTTTGCCTGAGGTAGCAGGACACCGTTGTCCCTGTTCAGGTTCTGTGTCTCCTCCATGGCATCAGGGTTCTGGGTTAGGACAGGAGATCCAGCTGCATTCAGATGCCACCTCAACCCACTCAACAACCCCTCTTACAATTTGCTGATTCCTGTGATCTTCAGAGAGCCCCAGAGAGAACCACACTACCTCGGGGTTCAG